AGTCCCTCTCTCTCACCTCCCCTTTCCTCATTTCCTCCTTCCTTTCTCTTCAGAGAAGGGAAGTCTTTGAATGTATACCAACCCATCTTGATATATTAAGATGCAATAGGACTAGGCACAACTTCTCCTACTGAGGCTAGATACTACAGCTTAGTTAGGGTTAATGGATCCAAAAGTTGGCATCAGAGTCAGAGATAGTCCCTGCTCCAGTTGTTAGGGGACCTACATGAAGACCAAGCTGCACATCTGTTACAATGCATAGGGGGCCTATGGGGTCAGCTCCATGCATGCTCTTTGGTTGGTGATTTAGTCTCTGTGAGCCCCATGGGTCCAGGTTAGTTAATTCTATAGGTCTTCTTTGGTGTACTTTACCTCTCTGTTTCCTTCATTCCCTTGTCCACACATATTCCACAATATTTCCTGAATTCTACTTAATATTTGGCTGTGGGTCTCTGCATCTGTTCCTATTAGTTGCTGTGTGAAGCTTCTCAGAAGACAATTATGTTTGTCTCCTGTCTGCAAGTATACCAGAGTATGGTTAACAGTGTCAGAGGCTGGCTCTTATTCATAGGATGGGTCTCAAGTTGGGCCACCCATTAGTTGGTCATTCCCTCAATTTCTGTCCCTGTGAATCTTGTAGGCTAGACATACTTTGGTTAAAGGTTTTATGGGTGAGTTCCTGTCCCCACCTCTCCATTGGAAGTTGTGCCTGGTTACAGGAGGTGTCCATTTCAGGGTCTATATCCCATGTTGCTAGGAGTCTTTGCTAGGGTCTTCCTCATCCCTGCTCCCATCCAGTTAAGTGTACTCTGTGTCCATATTCCAGATTATAATTCACAATCTACCCTCTCTTTAAATCTAGTCAATAATATATCATCACCCAAACACTGGTTGTTGACATAATCCATACCAGATTAACCATAATCTCTTTGCAGAAACTAAGTTTTAATTAGTTTGACTTTCTAAGCACTGGTACATAAGTAAACAGATTATATAAAACAGAGGTATAATTTATAAAGAAAAACTGCGGAGCAGGCCAGGAAAACTGTGGAGCATATAAAACCAGGTAGATCTTTCAGACTTGATTTTGCTCAAAACTGCAGGTAAAAATGAAACTCAATTTGGACAATTCTGCTAAATTCCTAAAATTAAAAACAAAACAAACAAACAAACAAACAAAAAACAAAACTTAAGTTCTTATCCCCTCATGAGGAACCAAGTAACTTGTTAAGGCCTTGGACACGCTAAAATGAAAAGAACAAGATTGTAACCATGACCAATTATGGTTTCTTTCATGTTCTCTCTAAAAATACTTGCCTTTAAAACACTGAATCATCACAGCACTAATGCTTTTCTTGTACAATGCTTCCCAGTGAATGAGTGGCTTTAGTTGTTCTTTTCATAGTTAAACCAAAGTATTCTGAAAATCTGGTCCTGCCAGTAAGAAGAACAATAAGACTTCCAATTCTTACCTGAGAAAAAATAATATGGGAAGGTGCTAGTGGATCAGGAGAGAAGCTAATGGAAAAGGAAGTCTACTTGATGCCATTGCATCCTAAATCTACTCTCTGAATACGTTGGATGCTTGTGTTCTACATGTTAATGCTGAGGAGATTTTTGAACACTGAAACACCAACATGGGTCTTAAGTAGGTTGATAAGGCTCCATCTTTCAACCTGTCCTAGAGAAATAAACCCTGTTCTCAAAAGAACCATGTCTCTGGTCTGTTTCATGCTCCCAGTCATCTACATCTGTGTAGGAGGCCTAGGTCAAGTCCACGCATGGTCTTAAGTCCCCGTATTTATAAATTTATTATTTCTATCTACAAAATTAGAATGTTTATTACAGTGTGGGGTTGGAATGATGGATCGCTGGTTAAGAGTTTCTATTGCTCTTATAGAGAGCCTGAGCAACAGCCATATCAGGCTACTCACAGCCCTCTGTAGATCCAGAAAAAGGAAATCCCATGTCCTTTTTTAGTTTCTGTTGATATCTGCACTCATGTGCACCAACACACACAAACACACACACAGTGAGAAAGAGAAACACACACAAACACAATGCAATTAAAAACAGAATAAAATCTTTTAAGAGTATATTTGATAAAATAATGTTTTTCATTGGTTTTATAGTTTATAACATTTACAGTTTATAAAGAACAAATTACTATTATTCATTTGAAACTGCAATATATCCTTGTTTTAAAACAATATTTTATTTTAAATTTTATAAAATAGTGACTATAAAATTAAAAAGGATTGAGAGCATGGGTAATATATTTTAAGTAAGCTCATCAAAAATATAAAATTAAATTTATATCAGAATGCAGAAAATTTTGGCTTGAAATAGTGCTTATTTTATAGCCTATATTAATGATGACATTTTAATTCTAAACTAAAATATTAGCTCAGAGAAAATGTTCATAGTCAACCTTAAAGCAATAAAACACTTTCTCAATGAACAAAAGGAATCTAATTTAATTTTATATATAAGGTAGGGAATCTTCAAGTCATAAAACCAATTTTAAGAGGGAACTTTCCCCAGTGTGTATACATAACTCACATTTTTAAGCAGAGTAGAAGCTAAGTATTAGAGCTTAAAATGAACTTGGTTAAAAATGAACTTAGTGTGAGAACCAGGATGGCTATTCAAGGTTAAATTTAACAACAACAAAAATAGTCTTCTAATATGCTTTTACATTAATTAAGAACTAGTCAGAGCAGAAAGTTGTTTTTGTTTTGTTTTGGTTTAGTCTGTTTGGTTTTTTTTTTGTTGTTGTTGTTAAATGTCATGCTAAACATCATGCCTGTCTTTCAGTAGTATGCCTTTTAGTTCAACCCAAAATTTTTCCCTTCTTACAAGATGTGCAGGGATAAAGATAAAGCAGAGGTGGAGGGAATGTCCAACCAATCCCTGGACCAACCTGAGACCTCCCCCATGGGAGAGAGCCAACCCTGACACTAACAATGACACTGCTTTGCTTGCAGACAGGAGCCTAGCATAGCTGTCTTCTGAGAGGCTCCACCCAGGAGCAGATCCAAACAGGAGCTGAGCCTCACACCCAAAGACTGGGCAGTGAAGGGAGTGCAGCGAGTACAGGGAGCCTTGTGGAAGAGTTACTGGAAGGACAGAAGGACCTAGAGGCTTTAGGAGCGTCACAGGAAAACCAAAGAGCCAACTAATCTGGGCCCAGGGCTCCCTGCAGAGATTAAAGTACCAGCCAAGGACCGTGCATAGACTGGACCTAGACCCCCCACACAGATGTAGCCCACGAGCAGTTCGGTGCTCACATGTGCTCTCTAGTAAGGAGAATGGGGGTTGACTGATATGGACTGTGTTGCAGGCCTTTTGATCACTACCCAGTGGTGGGGCTGCCTTTCCAGGCCATCATGAAGCCTCCATGTGCTCAGTCTAGATGCAACTTGAAGTGCTGTGGTGTGTTGGTGGGGGATCCCTCCCTTCTTGAGGAGTAGAGGACTGGGGGGAGAGAGAGTGGAACCATGAATAATTAACAATTTAAAGATAATTTCACAGGTATTTATCATGGTCACTAATCACTCTCCTCCCATTCTGCTCCGTTTCCACCACAAATTTCTCTATCATCTTCATGTACAACTATTTTGGCTTTTGTCCAATAGAGGTTAACCAGTGCTATCTATGTGCCCATGAATTTGGATCTATTTATTGGAAAATTGCAGGGTTAGAAATGCATACAGCACTAAAGACAATGATTCCCCCTTTCCATTTCTATTGGTAGCCCATAATTCAGAGGTAAAGAGATAGGGCCACATGAACCTCTCTCCTTCCCTTGACTAATTTTTGATAGGGCTGGTTTTCTGCAGGCCCAGTGTAGGCAACTAGTGTTGATGTGGAATAGTATTATAATGGCTGCACTGAGTTTAGGCAATGACATTTCATAGGTCATAGCTCATCCTCATTTTCCATCTTCTCTTTCACAATAGCCCAAAGTCTCAGAGCAGAAGGAGAAATTGTTCTGTTTAGGGCCAGTCCCATTACCATCACCTGTTCTCTGGATCTATCTTGAGCATCTTTGAGGCTCTTTTTTATCCACACATCATTCATTTTAACAATGTTTCTTTGTAGAGAAGGCTTCTATGATTCAGTATGAGAGACTCTTCTATATAAGTATAAGAATAGACATTTACGTTATCTCCATGAATAGTCCTTGGTTGGAGTATGAGTCTTTGGGAAGTTCCCTAGAACCCCTGCACAGATGTAACCCATGGCAGTTTAGTGTCCAAGTGGCTTACATAGTGATGGGAAGAGGGACTGCCTCTGACATAAACTGATTGGCATACTCTTTGATCACCTCCCCCTGAGGGGGGAGTAGCCTTACCAGGCCACAGAAGAAGACAATGCAGTCATTCCTGTTGTGATCTGATAGACTAAGATCAGAAGGAAGGAGAGGAAGACCTCCCCTATCAGTGGACGTGGGGAGGAGCATGAATGCAGAAAGGGGAGGTAGGGTGGGGTCGGGAGGGGAGGAGGGAGGGGCTTATTGGGGGATACAAAATGAATAAAGTGTAATTAATAATAATAATAAAAAAGAAAAAAAAAGAATAGATATTTAGAAGGCAGTTTGCATGTCCCTTTTCAAAGCTCTAGTTTTATCTGCAATTTTTCCACAGGTAAGCCCCCTCTTTTTTTTTTTTTTTTTTTTTTTTCCAGTTTTCTTCAGTGTGTTAACTTGCAAAACTCAGACTAGGAAGGAAGGAGAATGGATTCCTCCAGGCACTGAACACAAACTCCAGTTTTGTTTTCCTCATGTTAAGGGGAACAAAGAGAAGCTGACTATATATTCCCACTGAAGCTCCAGTGTTCTTGTCTAGATATGCAGAAACCAATGTCAGACTTAACTAACCCCTTTTAAAGTATGTTGGCCATTTTCTTATCCACAGTCCATCATTGCTCAGATTTTGTAACTTATTAAAAAATGACTGACATTAAAAACCATAACAGATAAACTGCTTATTATTAAGAATTATATTTTTTAATTTTTTTGTGAATTTTACATCTGCCCCACTCCAATCCCACTCATCTCCCCTGCCCTCCATACCTGCCCTCCACACTTGCAACCTCTACACACAACAGAAAAACAAAAATAAAAGGGAGTACACTAAAACCAACTAATTAATGTAAACAATCTCACCCTGGAAGCTGCAGCGTGTGACAGGATGTCATACAGTATATACCCTTCTGTCCAAACACCTTCACTTGCAAATGTTCACTGCAATGAGTCATGGGTCCGGTTTGAGGCCTCTGGCTTGATTCTTTATTAATTGTAAAAGGTTTAGTCGAAGCACAGTGTACATATTCCAAAAGACATTCAACCAGTAGCATGTCACAAGATGATCAGCCACAATAGTGCATCTATGAGCCACTTCTGTGACTGTAGAAGAAATTTGATGTTCCCGTGGGCTAGTTCTCAGGATCCTCGAGTTAACCAGTGTGCACCAAATGGGTATCATTTCAGTTTTGTTTGGATTAGGACTCAAGAAGGCCTTTTTTGTTAGTGTTGGTGCGTGCAGCAGATACTGTTCCAAGCACACGTCTTTCCTTCTTCTCAGAGAACCAACTTTTCATAGTTTTTTAGTTTCAGTTCTTTCCAGAGGGCAAAAGGCTGAGTGCAAGGGTTAAAGAGAAAGTTAGGAGAGAGAGAGAGGTTGGTGAGGTGAATGTGAGGGAGAGAAAGAAAGATGACTTGACTTCTGAAGGAAGTCCTGAGGTAAAGGTAAGATGTTTCTCTTAAAATGTCTCATATCTGCTCTTAAACCAAGGACTATTCATGGATATAACCTAGAACAGCTGCTCAGATGTAGCCCATGGCAACTCAGCACCGAAGCGATACTGAGCTAGTATCACTAGTAAAGGGAACAGACAGAGACTGTCTCTGACATGAACTCAGTGACTGACTCTTTGACTGCCTCCCCCTGATGGGGAGCAGCCTTACCAGGCCACAGAGGAGGACAATGCAGCCAGTTCTGATGAGAATGGATAAGCTATGGTCAGATGGAAGGGGAAGAGGACCTCCCCTATCCATGGACTTGGAGAGGGGCATAGGAGGAGATGAGGGAGGGAAAGTGAGATTGGGAGGGAATGAGGGAGTGGGCTACAGCTGGGATACAAATTGAATAAACTGTAATTAATATAAAAAATAAAAATTTAATTAAAAGAATTCCCTCAGTGAAGAAAAGCATGATAGTCACTTGGGTGGGTGACCTGTGGTTTGGCCCATATAAATCCTGCATTGCACAGGATTGCAATGAGTGGTGAATTCTTTTCTCTATTACCCATGTTCTCTCTTCAATCTCAACACCATAAAAGCAACCAACTTGCAACCTGGAAGAGATAATATAAGTAAAATATAACTTATAGTCGGCTAACAACCTAGCTAAGTAAATTAAATGTTTAATTTCAATTTTACCAGATCCAGCTATGCACAAAGTTTGTATAAATTATTGCTTCCGTAAATATAAGCAAATCCATTTGAACCAAATTATAGCATTGATGTTACAAATCCATTTGATATTACAGAGTCATAAATGTAAAATCATGTTTTCCACAACCTAAGTAATAATTTTCTTACTTTGTAATTACCAGAAGTGGAAATTTCTTTTTTTGTCATGATAAAAACACATCAATACAATGTATAAGGAAAGTTTCCTTCCAAACAACTGTGTTGGTATTAATTACTTCTGACAGTAATAGTACATTATTTTATGCTTAAAAAATGAAATCACACTTGGCTTAAAGTGACTCTGAAATTACTTTCATTAGTTTCATATAACGTATCCTTAATTTTATATTATTTTCAGAAATTCTCTTGTGTTTCATATATTTCTGAATATATTTTAATAAATAACTACTTAAGTTCAGGAATAGAGAAAATATGTTTCCTGCTAACCCTTTTCTTGCTTGTAGAAATTCAGCATGGAAAACAAATCTCAAAAATATTAAAATATTTTAAGACGCAATATTTATAAATTACTTAGTGCTCCAAAGTTAATAGATAACTGCCAAAAGTTCTCAAGCAAAGCAATGAATTGCATAATCACTGACATTTGTGATAATGATTTCCAGTTTTATTATTCAAGCACATTTTAAAAGAACGCTTATTAGTTTGATGACTGTCTTAGTTTCTTTCCTGTCATCGTGATAAGGCATTGTGACCAAGCACACTTATAAAAGAAAGCGTTTTGGTCAAGGTGAAAGAGTGCTTATGTAAATCAAAATACTTCCCGTGAGTTCTAACCAGGACGTCGCTGCGCAGTGCTAACCTCTTCGTCTGACGCTCCCTGCTAAGATACATGGACTGATGATTATAGCTGCTCAGTCAATGCACAAATCACATCACTGCCAAACGTCCCTCCTCCAGACACGGAGCCCTGACCTTCGGGCAGCTGCTAGTGGAAGGGCAGAGCGACGCGTGTGTCTGTCTCAGCTCCTCAGTGGTAATTCTGACTGACTGCAGTGATGCCTGCTAGCGAGGGTTGAGGAGACCTGGCAGCTGCAGGCACTGTTGTTGCAGGCAAAAAGCCACTCTTGTGGGGATCTTAGATGAGTCTATTAAGTAATTTTACTAGCTCAGCCGGTCAAGTTACTTTAGCTCACTTGGCATGAGCATGGGCTGAGACCACTAAATCAGCTTTAAAGGAACCTCTCTGTCATCGGAATTGTGTATGTGCACTGAGCCAAACTAAATCTCTTTTACAAACAGCGCTGACCCCTCTGTGCTGCAGTACTTTGAGTCACAAAAGTATTTTTTCTCTCTTCGTTAATTTTTCATTTCTACTACATAGCCCCATTTACCCTTCTATGCACAATATGCAAAAAATATTGACAACTCAAATCAGGTGACATACAAGAGAACCATTGAGGAACAAGCTAAAATACTGTGTAGTTAGCTTTCTGTGCTGTCAAATGCAAAGTTTTAAATTATTTGCAGAGGGGTTGGAGTATGGCCCAGTCATGAGTAGCACTTACTGTTCTTGCAGAGAACATGGGTTTGCCTCCCAACACCCACATGATGACTCGCTACTGCCTGTTACTCTACTTAGAGGGCACATGATCACTTCCTCAGGCCTCCGCAGGTACTTGGGCTTATGTGGTGCACATGCAGAAATACACATACACACACAAGTAAAGCTCATGCAAGTATACGCATGTGTGCATAATAATAAATGCCTCTTAAACATGCAGAGCCAGCCTGATGTGGAGACTTGAGTAGCTAAGGCAGGATGATTGCCTAGAATGTGAGAATATTGCCTGGGCCATTCAGGGAGGAGGTGGAGGTGAGAGCAAGGAGAGGGAGAGAAAAGAAAAAAAAAAAAAAGGAGGATGAAGGAGAAAGAGGGAGTTGCAGAAGGGAAAGGAGCAGGAGGACATTCCTTCAAGCAATGCAACAAAGTATATGTACCTTTTTTTAAATTTTTTATTAATTACACTTTATTCATTTTGTATCCCCCCATAAGCCCCTCCCTCCTTTCCTGCTGATCCCACCCTCCCTCCCCTTTCTGCATGCATGCCACTCCCCAAGTCCACTGATAGGGGAGGTTCTCCTCTTCTGTCTGATCTTAGTCTATCAGTTCTCATCAAAAGTGGCTGCATTGTCCTCTACTGTGGCCTGGTAAGGCTGCTCCCCCCTCAGGGGGAAGTGATCAACGAGCAGGCCAATCAGATTATGTCAGAGACAGTCCCTCTTCCCATTACTATGTAACCCACTTGGACACTGAACTGCCATGGGCTACACCTGTGCAGGGGTTCCAGGTCATCTCCACGAAGTATATGTACCTTTAAAGGCTGCATTTTGCCAGACTATTCTATGGATATGTGAAGAAGCTCCTGAAGCTGGGTCTTAGGCAATTAAGGAAATAACAAAAGTTCATCATTATCAACATATTGTAATCTCAGATTAAGAGTCAACTGCTCAGTGAGACTAGGATCTTTATGCTGCAGTAGGCTGGACTGTACTTTTCTATCTGTGCACACATTTTCCTCATCAAGTGACACAAAACACTCCTTCAAATGCAGCGACAAAACCTAAACTAAACATAAGCCCCTATCCCCTGATTTTTAAGACAGACAAACAATTGACAGGAGCACAACACATTAAGTTTTATAACGAAGAGAAGGTGCAATTAAAGCAAGTTAATTGACTTTTTCTCCTACTTTGAATGCTTGTCAGGATAGCCTATATGCTACTGACTATTATACATTCAGGTCTTTAAATATAGGACAGCCTAAATGGTGGGTCACTAATAATTCACTGCTAAATGAAGAAATGGGGAACAAGTGACATTTAATTGTGGCAAACCATTCTTAGCCTTTCTGAACTTAATTGGAAAGTAAAATTGACAAAATTAAATTTGGATGGTGCATTGAGACCAGCAGAAATAAAACAGCTTATCTAGCTTCACAAGGATGCCCTTACAAGTGAATTTAATTGCTTGTTTTATCTAATTAGAAAGCCTCTAAATAGCATAAAGATTATTAAGTTTTCTTCATTCATCATACTTTAATATTGTGAAAGTATTATGAATTAAAAGTACTTTTCCAACATATTTCTCTTTAAGATAAGTAATATTTTTCATTAAAACATTCCTGTATTTCACTAATGCTATGAATTCCTTTTTTTATATACAAATCTTGTTATCTAGCTAGCCTTGAAAGTAATGCGCTGATAATACTTCTCCACAGGGAAAGCAGAGAAGTCACCTAAAACACTGACACAGGTTGGTAAAAGGATAATTCAAATCATTTAAAAGCACATGGCTCTACAGGATAGCACTGTAAAGAATCAAAATGCCCTTTCCAGCATCTTTCAGTTTTTGTTCCAGAAAACAATTTCAACATTGTTTGCATGACTCTTTGTTTGGAATGCATTTATTGTTGCTGTGATTAAATATTTCATAGAAAGCAACTTAGTGAATAAGAATTATTTGGCTCACAGTTCAATCAGTTCATGGCAGGGAAGGCATAAGTGGGAAAAAGTTGGTCTGTGGTCCTTAGGAAGGAACAGAGAAAGGAGAATGTGAGGCTCGGCCTTTCCACTTTACTTCCATTTTTTTTCAGTCCAAGGTCCCAGCCCATGAGCTGGTATGCAGACACAGAGAGTGTGTCATCTTCCATTATCTAAGCCTCGTTGGGAACTCTGTCCTTAAAGTACTCAAAAGTGTAACTACATAATGCCCCAGGTGTTTTTTATATCATCAGGTACCATTTGCCTCAGGAACATTGTGTGATGCTGGAGAGTGTAAGTGGTATGAACACGGTGATAATTTAAAATGAATAATTGGTGTAAAGTTGAGGTAGCTTCTTGGACTGCATTCAGAAGCAAAAATTCCCTCACACACACTATGTCAGCTCCACAGTCCTGGGTTATTTATAATGGAGATGCCAGGATATGATGATATGTGTTTAAAGGACTAGTTTGCTTTTGATTCCAATCTGCTAAACTGCTTAATTACTCAAATTTAAGTGTCCAAAATTATTTTTAAATTATATTTGGTTTAAAGGAGCAATGAAGATTCAGAAAAGAATTCAGGCAATAAATAGAATAAAATGCAAAGAAATTATGTGTGTGGAGAATCCCCGCATGTATTTGAATCATAGCTCTGGCCCAGAGCTCAAGTGCCTATAGTTCGCTTAGTATTACAGTTGACTACAATGGATTTCAATAGAAGAACCTCAAAGAACATTTTATGCTTATGTTTCCCCGTCACCTGTTCTCACTTTGTTCATACTTTGCCCTATATAGCCTCAAACTCATAATTCCAATGCCTCTACTTTCTACGTTACTAGAACTAGAAGCTTTGATATTGTGCCCAGATAACATTTTACTACAAAAACCGAGAGTATCTAAATTAATAATAGCATGATAGCAAAATTTACCTATTTAATGTAAACATTAAGATTTAATAAATTATAAAGAAATTTAGTTGTAATGCTAAAGTCTGCATCTACACAGAAACAAAAATAGAGCATTTAAAAATATCTCAATTTCCTGAGAGTCTACAGTGACATATAGAACTTTAGGACAATCAGGCATTGACCACAGTACAATTTCAACAATTTCAATTTGAGCAGAACATAGTCCCCCATTGTGTGGGGGAGTGTTGTCTTAGTTATTGTTCTACTGCTGTGAAGAGACACCAAAGCCAAGACAACTTATAGAAGGAAACATTTACTTGGGACTTGCTTACAGCTTTAGAGCCTTATCATCTTAGCAGCAAGCATGGTGGCAGGCAGGAAGGCATGATGTTGGAAAAGAAGCTGAGAGCTACATCCTCATTAACAAGCAGAAAGAGAAGCTGGGCTTGTGTGGGTTTTTAAAACTTCAA